AGTTTGAGCTGGATCACAAAAACAGTGACAACAGTTTAACAAAAATAAAACTGAGCAAAAAAAAAATACTTTGGTTCCTCAAAAACTGTTTTATTTAAATGAATCCTGGATCAGTTTTTGAATCTGTTGACTTTTTCTTTACAAGGTGGGACATCTAACTGAGCATGTACAGTGTGAGTGTCATCACTCTATGTTTCTTGTTGTTACTGTCCCCGGTCTCCCCTAGTTCCAACAAATCTCACATACACTTCAGTATAAACTTAAAAAACCCCACTAGTGAATCTCTCTTTAGAGCCCATTTTCTTTTCAGATCCTCTTTAGTTTTATTATCCCAGGTGGCAAACATTTGTGTGGTGCAGACCTTCATCTCTGCGTGATGCAACCACTTCACAAGCTGCACATGACTTTGTCTCTGCAGAAACAGTAACCATACAGGAAAAATAACCTCACTGAGTTGAGGAGGTTTTAGCAGTTTGCAGATTTAAGTAATGAATGTCATTAGTGGCACAAATAAAAATAATCCAACATTTAAATTTCTTTATGTGGCGTACAAGTTCAACAAATTAATCACCCCTCTGCCTCACATTCACACATAGTTCAGCTCTTTGTGTTCTGTGTCAGAAACCTGCACAATGCTCAGTGTTTTTATTAAGACTGACTGACTTTTTTGGTTGTAAGTTCCAAACAACTTATGGAAAATTATGCTTAACAAATAATGAAGACTTCAAATGAAAATCAAACCTCAACATTTTTGTTGAAAGAGTCAAGTGACTTTAAACATTAAGAGCAAATAAATTTAATTATAAAAATAGAAAAGAGCCCTTTTCTAAACTGGTTTGTTTTAAACTAAAATAACTAATTAAAAGAACTAAGATGAAATCAAAAAGTTTTCTTCCTTTCAACAAATCAGTGTGATCAAAGCAAAAAAATAAGTAAAAAATAAAATAAATAACTTTGCTCCCGACACACAATCAGCAAAGATAAAGCAGGGATGTGAAAGTTTAGGTCCATTATTCTGGGTCTGAGAGCAGGGGTAGTGAAGAAGGGATCACTGCTATAACAAGACTTCTTAAAGGGATCGCTGATTAGTTGTAACATTAGACTTTATTTAATAAACATGTATTTTAACTGTAAAATAAAGACTGTAAAAATACTGTAGGATGTTCAGTTTTTCTAATTTTTAAACTAAAAGTTTAAAAATATATTACATGGACGGGGCCATTTTATTTACACACAAAGCATTCTGGGTAAATGATGACGTGGATAGGTCCTCGGTGCGAGGCTGCTAGCGAGCTATATCCACCCTGAAGGTTAATCTTGGACAATATCTGATGATCGACTCTTTTAAATGAAACCAGAGAGCGTTGACAGAGAGGAGAAGGTAGAAATGACTCAGCCTGGAACTGAAAATATGGATGGAGGACAACAGAGCTGCTTCATGGAAGAAGAACCTCAGCTTAGCCTGTTAGCTTTAGCGTTAGCCCCGACTCTATCACCATATTATGTATTAAGGGCTCGACACACGGGAGACGACGTCGCTCGCTCTCCATTCATTTCCTATGGAGCCTGTGCGGTGAGGCGACAATCGCTTGCCCTCCTCCAGCTAAGCGACCGGCAAAAATAGTGCATGTGAAATTTCGCGCTCGTACACGTAGACGTGCACACGCGCGCTTGCGACGCGACATACGAAAGTTGAAAAATGTTCAACTTTTGTCGCTGTCGCTTAGCGTACAACCAATCAGCGAGGGTTTCATTGACTGACCAATGAGAGGAGAGTATGCTACACACTGCAGTTAGCTAACACTTTCACCAAGTGATTACTAAAAAGCTTTGTGGAAATTTATTGGCACCACAGTGAAGTTTATGGTAAGATTTTCCTCATAAAACTGTATCTTGAAGTGTGTTTGTTTTTCAGTATCATTAGCATCGCAAGATTTGTTTAGTTTACACGTCCGTAATGCCCAGTTTTTTGTAAACCACCAATAACCTTTACACCTTCAGAGTCAAGAATCAATCAAATTTTGTGAAGACAAGCGACCTGAGAGCGCGATTCGCAACGCTGCAATCGCTATCGCGTCCTGTGTGTCGGGTTTTCACCCTGGCTGCGATGACAGCCGTTAATCGCTGTAGTTTGTCGCTGCCCATGTGTCGAGCCCTTTAGGCTAGCACAGCGCCACACATTCTCCTCTCGTCACTGAGGTCCTCCATCCACATGACAGAGAGGGGAACACAAAAATGACTCAGCCTGTGACTGAAAATATGGATGGAGGACCTCAGTTTAGCTTGTTAGTTTGTCGAGCTAGCACCCAGCTAATACATATAAGGCAATGTAGCATCAGCACTAGCGCAAAGGCTAACAGGCTCAGCGTGGACATATCTCGCTCACACCGAGGACCTATCCAYGTCATCATTTACCCAGAATGCTTTGAGTGGAAATAAAATGGCTCCGTCCGTGCTAAAATGTATTTTAAAAATTATAAAAACTAAACAGCCTATAGTATTTTTGCAGTCTTTATTTTACAGTTAAAATAAATGTTTATTAAATAAAGTCTAATGTTCCATCTAATTGGGGATCCCTTTARCAAACCAAAATAATAAATAATAATAAAATACTTGCAATATGTGTTTACTATTTACATGACAAAAATCCCCAAGCATTTCAGTACAAACTCTCAAGAACAAATTATTATTATTATTATTTTTACTTTTGGTGACAACTTAAAGGAAGTTGTCATATCTGACTGATATCACAGGGGTGTTTCTTTCTTGTATAAGGCTGCACTGGTGGGACCTTCAAACTGGAGTTTGATGGCCTGTTTGAGATTGAGCTGTGGGTCTCTGGTTGTCATTGTGAACTTGTCACTTTCTGTCAAGGCACTGCAGGGTGGGGAGGGGCTAAAACTGTAACAAACAGGTAACAAAATGTTCTGTGTCAGAGAATCCCAAGCTTCCYGTTGAGAAGGGCTCTGTATGCTATACGGGTAGTCTGAAGGAGGGTTCTCTCTGTTTTTAGCACCTAGAGGAGCATCTTGGCCAGGCCTTATTCCAAGAGAAGCCATAACTGAGTGCCATTTATCACCTGTGAATGAAGTCCTTTCTGCTTTAATCAAGTTTGAGCTTTGTTTGATTCCTTTGTCATGATATTCAAGTCCTGATGAAAAGCCTTTTTGAAGGATTTCACAGTTGTGCACCATAGCTTTGACTGTGCAAACAGTTGGAGGAGGGATACCTTTGGGTTGCCTCTGGCTGCTTCCGTGCAGGCTGCCCACGCCTGAGCTTCCTGGTGGAGGGAGGGTGGAGTGGCGACTGCGGCTACGAGGCAGTGAGTGTTGCTGGATCTGCTGGATGAAGCTGAGGCTGTCGGCAGGCACTGTTTGCACTGTAGCCAGGGAGTGGCAGGTAGACGAGGTCTGAGAACTTTGCATTGAATGGAAACGTTCTCCAGTGGAACCGGGGGATGACATGGAAGAGGACGAGGTAGTGGCTGTCACTTCAACTCCATTGCCCTCTGACATACCAGGAGAGAGGCTCTTGTTGGGCTTCAAAGGAGATACAGTACTGTAGTTAGGCAGCGGGCCTAGATATGGCTTAGCTCCATAGCTCTCCAAGATCCTGATGATGTTAAAATGTCCATGTTTCCCTGCCACTTTGACCAGACTTCGACCATATTTATCCATGTGATTGGGATTTGCACCTTTTTCTAAAAGCATTTTCACAATATTAGTGTGTCCCTCTTGGGCAGCRATGCTCAGAGCTGTTGCCCCCTGATGACAAGCAAGGTCTATATTTACAGAAGTGGCTTCTAAGATATGATGTCCTACTTTAGTGTGTCCCGTCCAAGCCACAGAATGCAATGGTGGTCTCCCTTCTGCATCTTGTGCATTGGGGTTCGCCCCATGTTTTAAAAGTAGATCTACAATATCCACATTCCCCTTCCAGGAAGCAACGTGAAGTGCCGTGCGGCCCTCTGAGTCTCGAGACTCAAGCGGCACACCTCCCTTTTCTATTAAAAGACTGGCCATATCAAGGCAACCATCCAGCACCAGGAGATAAAGCAGAGGCCGTCCCTCTGAGTCCCGCACATCAGTATCAGCCCCTCGCTTCATGAGCAGCTCTGCCACGTCAGCATGGCCCTCCAGAAAGGCTGAACTCAGTGCAGAATGTCCATCGTAGGCCCTGTGGTCAATAGGAGAGCGTCTGTCCAGCAGTAGTTTGACAGTGCTCCAATGACCTTCTTGAGCAGCTAGTATTAGAGGTGTACGTCCTTCAATGTCCATCTCTCCAACACGTGCCATGCTGCCTTGCTCTGTCAATGCTGCACAAACATTCCGATGACCTTCGCAGGCAGCAGCATGTAGCGGAGTCCAGCCAAGGTCATCTTTATGGTTTTCATCTAGACCTCGTTCTAGCAAAGCACGGACAACCTCTAAGCTTCCTCTCGCTGCTGCCAAACAGAGTGCTGTCCTGCCTTCACAGTCAATGGCATCCACTGCTGCGCCCCAGAAAAGCAGTTTGGACACCGTCTTCATGTGACCCATTGCCGCAGCTGCCAGGAGAGGCGTGACAGCAGCTGCAGCAGAGACACTCCCATCAGGGCCAGCCGTTTCATCCACATCAGCCCCAGCTTCCAACAGAAGCTCAACAACGTCCTCATGACCTTCGTATGCTGCGAGAAGCAGTGGGGTCATTCCATCGTGATCTCTGTGCCCTGGATCAGCTCCACGCTCAAGTAACAGACCTGCTACTTCACCAAAACCTTTGATTCCTGCAGTCGTTGGGACACAGAGAGCGACGACCAACAGAGCCGTGCGTCCGTCTCTGTCAGCGATGTCAACTTCTGCATTGTGGTCCAGTAGTATCTCCACAGTCTCATAATGTCCCATGTAGGCAGCAGCAATAAGTGCCGTGCGGCCCTTACTGTCAGCTTTATTGATTTGTGCCCCATAATCCAGGAGGGTAAGGACAATCTCCTCATGACCCCCCCACGCAGCGGCTCTGAGAGCAGTCCGTCCCTCATTGTCACATCCATTTACATCTGCCCCTGCATCCAGAAGCAAGCGCACGGCCTCGCAGTGTCCTCCCCAAGCTGCAGAGCGCAGTGCTGTCCAGCCTTCATGGTCAACATGCTCCATCATCTGTGCTGCTCTCTCTGGGTCTTGACTTTTAGCCCATTCTACGAGGACAGACAGCACTTTGACATGACCTTGCTTTGATGCCAAAGTCAGAGGTGTTTGACCCTGATGGTCACTGATCAGAGGATCAGACTTATGCGTAAGAAGGATTTTAGTGATTTCTGCAGAACCATCATGAGCTGCTTTAGCAAGAAAGGTCTGTCCTGTAGCGGTAAGTTGGTTCACAGAAACCCTGCTGTCGAGCAGCCTCTTTATAGATACCTCTATTTCTAACGCATGTTGTAACTGATCTCCTTCTTTACCTGTGCACTGTGTTCCAACACTTGAATCTGCATCTGAAAAACAGCCTGATGAAAGAAGTCCACTTCTCATTAATAGCTGAGGGACTTCCTGACGAACTAAAGCAGGAAGTTGAGTGACGTATGCGGTAAGGGTTTGACTGCAGCTGGGAGTAAGAGCTGGCACACCTGTCCATAGCATCCACAGAGCCAGTAATGCAGGGTTTTCTTTATGGTGACCTGAGCAAACTAAGTGTGTGGCAAGCTGACAAGTGCCCTCAGCGTCCAAGTGGGGCCCCTGTAAAGTCAGAGACATGGCAAGCATGCTGTGACCCCCGGTCCTGCTACAGAGGTACTTCTGTGTGCAGTACTTCACATCAGTCAACCACTCTGTAAAACTGGCATGAAAAATGAGTTTGGTGCCCTCAGGGCCATTGATCAGGATAGGAGACAGTGTTTGAAGTTTGTTCTGGAAGTCCTGAATGCTAAGGGAAATGTCCTGAGTCCAAACTGTTGTGAACAGCTGCTGAGGTGTGAGCGGCAGCGGAGACGCCAAGAGAACATCGAGAAGTGGCTTGATGTTGACAAAGAGTCCCCTGGGAAACAGTCTCTGGCAGAGCCAAAGGTAGAGTCCATTAAGAGTCCCGGGGATGTCCCGAATCTCTCGCAGTCCCACCAGCCCGGCTGCCACTCCATCAAGAACACGCTCAAGAAAGAGAAAGCAGCCGCCGCTTTTGATGTGCAGCAGGTTCAGCATGTCAGCAGTGTCAGGGGTGAGCTGACGACGCAGCGTTGCTTCCTCGTCCAGCCGACAGAGGATGTACTGCTGCACGTCACGGACAGCTGGCGGCTTCCTCAGGTCGTCCAAGCAGAGCTTACGAAAACCTAAAACAGAGAAAGTKATTAATTTTTTCTCTCTTATTGTTTTAGTTTTATAAAGACAACTTTATTTTAAACAAATCTGATAAATCAAGTTGGAAATTAAAATGCTATTTGGAGTATAGCTCTTATGAGATATTCTTGCACATGGAAGAAAAAAGGAAATCCCCAAAATAAGAACACAAGAAAAAGCGATCTCCCCCTCAATCACATGAAGGGACGAGGAAATCAAGATCATTTATGATTTTGAGAAAAAAGCTTTGTTTCCATTGCAAATGTGCGCAAAACTTTGTCAATATTCTGTTAATGTCGAAAATACAGTTTCACAACTGCGGTGTTTCCATTAAGTAAGAAATGCTATTAAAGTCACGCGTGAATACGTTTGATCTCGCAATAAGTCATTACAAACATGGCGGCCATGGATGTAAACACATAGCATGTTGCTACCGCAACTCTAGCACTCATCATCAGAGGAGACGTCGGCGTCTTTTATCGAGGCTTTCCAGAGACAAGTCCCTACTTGGGAGCGGCTACGTATGCTGTGTTTTTGGGAATATTGTAGTCAGTGAGTTTACTACTTTATTTTACTACTTCAGTGATATTACTACTAATTCTTCTTCCTGTTATCTTCTTCTTCGTCGTCTTTTTCACCAGTAGAAACAGCCAGTTGTTGGTCACGTGACTCCCGTGATGCGAAAAAAGTGTTTCCATTGCAGTTTTGCGAAAAACACCAATTTCGATATGGCCGGAATACCACCTCATCCTAGCGCAAAAACATTTTGTCGAAAAACGTAATTTTTCTCCGAAATTGACGTGTTTCCATTGAGCAAATTTATTTTTGAAATTCTGACGTGTGCATTTTCATGGTCAATGGAAACACAGCTAATGAATTTCAAGAAAAAACAAAATGTCAAATGAAAGATGTAGTTGTTTGGCCACACTTTTATCCTAATGACACCTGTTACTGTRTGTGTACAAACCTGAGAACATCTTGCACACATCTTTGTTGTGGCGCCKGACTGAGCAGACCAGCAGCAGCCAGCTGGGCAGCAGGTGCTGATTGGCAGCTAAGAGTTCTGCAATGGAGCCACTTGTCCCAATGCTTTCACCTGGTCTGTACTGAACATCCAGGGCATCTACAACAACCATCAGAGTCTGGGCTGGAGAAGGGAGGTCCAACAGAGGTTCCAACACCGCTCTAAGGATAAACAAGGAACAGGAAGATGGAAAGAAAGAGATTAAAACAGCAAGAAATATGGGCGAATGAAAGAGATAAAAAGAATGACAAGAATATACTAAGACCTTTTTTTAACTGACTGAGAATGACTCATAATTATATGAAAATGAATGCTAAAGTAAAGA